TTTTATGAGTAGGTCCCCAGTTCTTAGTTTCAGTTTTGCGGAGTGTATTTATCTCATTTGTAGTTGTTTTGTTTGGACTACTCCATGTATCTGTACATGTATTCGATTTTGACAAATATTTACGATATTGTTGCTAATATCTTCACCAAAATGAATTCTAATTTTCTCCAATTTTGTCGTTTTTCATTAAAAAGATAAGTTTTGAATTATTGTATTTTCTTGTGAATATTTTTTTGTTCTTTTAACAGACTGTTTTATTAGCACTTCTAATCAGGATTCTGCAATCAGTCAAGTGATTAATGTTTAGAGATTTTGTATTAAACAAGTAGTTTGTGTTGTCACCCGTTCTTAAAACAAAAACAAAATATAAACTGTATTTAAATTCAAAAAATATTTTTTAAAATTTCATCATCATTTAATTCTCGTGATATAATCTCCACATTTTTATAATCCTAATGTTAATATAACTTGTTCGGGATCCTAATGTTGTTCACGACTTGAAAAGAAAAATCAGCTGGTGTTCAGAATCAACATTGAAGTCTGATTAAATTTGAATCACGCACTACAAAGCCCATTCGACTGTGGTGTTGCCAACAAGATTTTCTCCTGGGCTCATTTGGGTGTGGCCTCCCAACCAGACCTCTATAAATTCATGAATTTATTCATTAACCCTCTACAAAGGGTTCTGCTTCAGGTACTAACTTTTATTTAATCTATTGATTTAGAATACTATAATTTCCTGAATTAGCAAGTGAAAGACGAAACTAGGGTAGTTTGGAATTGTTTGACTACCTGATTCCTAGGCAAAGGCGGAGCTAGGGTTTTCATCTTAACATCAAAAATATATTTTATGTTTGTATTGTTTGGTTTGTTCGAGTCATTACTTATTTATATTTTGATTCATCTTAGTGAAAACCCTAGCTCCACCATTGATTATTAGGGAATTTTTGAATGTGATTATGTACGTAAATTTAACCTCTGTGTTTATTCTGTATTGAATTGAGAGTTATGATTTCCTCCGAGTCTCGTATTTTAGTTAAATAAATTGTTTCATAATTCAGTATTTTGCTTGAATTGACAGATAAAGTTGAAACTTTTGAGCTTAACAATTAAAATGCTTGTTTTCAGAGGTCTGAGATCATACGATTGCTGGTATGGAACATCTATGCAAATCGTCAAATAAAAGCGTAGTTGAGTTGTCTGAGGATATCATAATTGAAATATTACATCGTTTGCCTTCAAAATCTCTTGCAAGGCTTGTACGTGTGTGTAAGCATTGGCAGAAGTGTATTGCTGATCCATCTTTGGCTTATAGTTGTCGTTCTCAACGATGGAGTCCTCACCCTACCATGATAGGTTTCTTTTGTCAAAGTAGAGTCATCGGCTCTGAAATTCGTTTTTTAGACTTGTCGAGCAAAACATCATCAGAAGTGATTGATGGTAGTTTAGATGAGTTGGTCAATTTCCTTGGCAGGAGATTGTATATTATTGCATCCTCTAATGGTTTCCTTCTTATCGCTGAGAAAAGATCAAATCAGAGGGTTTACTATGTTTATAATCCTGCAACGAGGCAGCATTTTTCAGTCCCTGTAACTGAAACATCCTGTATGAAAGTAGCAGCCATCGGATTTCATTGTAAAGTAGATGACCCTGAAAAAGATGTGATCTCCTTTACTATAGTTCGTTATGAAATATGGTATTTTCTTCGTTCGAGTGTAACAATTGAAAGCTTCTCTTCTGAGACTAATGTGTGGACTACCATCTATCTCACGCTAGATGTACCTCTCAAAGTTTGTCTTTCATGTTATAGGAAATTAGCATCAGCTGGGGTAATCGATGGAGTATTCTGTTGGATTGACCACGGAGCACAGATCATTTTTTATGATAGTGTCAATAGGCACTTCTGGGCTTTGCGAGTGAATGCCTTGGAACCTTGGTATCTTGGAGTATCGGGTGGAGTTCTCTGTTATGCATCGTTGTACGAGGGAAAGATTACTATGTGGTGCCTTGAGAGCAATATTCGTAGTCCAGATGCAGTATGGGTCAGGAAATATGATGCAAATTTAATAGATGCATTAAGAAATAATCCTCCATTGGGTTTAGTTGCCGCGGTGATGTGTGTGGATATTCATCCTGCTAATCCACACATCGTTTATATGAAAATAAATGGCACCATTGTTTCATATGACTTGGAAAAGAATATTATGGAATTTTTGTATGAAATCGGAGATGGAAATTACTTATTCTTTACTTACGAGTGGCATCAATGGCCTCGTCTTCTCTAAGAACTATCAACAACATAGTTTTGCAGGATATTCCAAAAAGTGGAAGTCTGATAGTTTTGCAGCATTTCAATGATTTATTACTTAATTTAACAAGAATTCATACTCTTTCTTATGGAATTGTTAAATAATATTTCCTCCGTTTCAATTTATGTGACATTATTTGACCATCAAAAAGACTGTACAAGTTGCTCTGCCCAAAAAACAGAGCAATTGCAATGCAATTTCAGGCACCATGGAGTTGAAGAAAAGATGGAAGACTGATTTAGCTAAACAATTGGAGAGGAGAAATTCAGCAAACATAGGTACCCAAAGTAGCAATAAAAGGAAGAGGCCAGCCTCCAAAGTGCAGCAGCAGAAGAGCACAACAAATGAGTACAAGAATCCACCAAGTCTGCAAAGATATAATTTTGACTTTGACGACGATATGATCAATCGTGGCTGCTCCAAAGAAAACCTAACCAAGCGCGAGTCGAGGAAGAAAATGTAGGAAGCAACAATGACACAATTAGTGGAAGCAACTCTGCATTGTGTCCGCCAAGGGCGGAATACCTTGCTGATGTTGATTTGTATGCATTGCCCTTAACAGTTCCGTTTTGAATCACATTACAACTCTGTGTATAGTTAATGTTTTAGCTGGATATATACTACTAAAATTCACTTGTATTGGTTAAATATGAATTCAAGTTAAGTGATTGATGCTCTATATTGGTTAGCAACAAGTTATGTTAAACAAGTACTTTGTGTTTGTCACCCGTTCTTAAATTTAAATTTCCAAATCGGATTTGGTTGATATATTAATTTAATTTTTTTTTAAAAAAATCTCATCATTATTTAATTCTCGTGATATAATCTCCATATAATTATAATCCTAATATTAATATAACTTGTTCACGAATCAAAGGACTTAAAAGAAAAATATTCTTGTCCTTCCTTTGGTTAGTTGATGGACATAAACATTAAACATAAAACAAGCTCTATAAATTCTTTTTTTGATTTCAACAACTGGTGTCAAGAGCCCGCAGTGAAAGGCCAACCGAATTTTCTCACCTCTATAAATTCATTACCTCTTTGCTATTTTATTCATTAATGCTGTACAAAGGTTTCTGCTTCAGGTACTAACTTTTATTTAATGTATTGATTTAGCATACTATAAATTATATGACTACTTGATTCTAAGCCCTTTGAAGCAGAGGCGGAGCTAGGGTTTTCATCTGAACATCAAAAGTATATTTTAGGTTTATATTGTAGATATTGAATCTCCTTGGTTTGTTGAGTCATTATATTTTGATTCATCTTAGTGAAAATCCTAGCTCCACTATTGATTATTTGGGAATTAGGTTGTTTATGTAAATTTGACCTTTGTAATTATTCTGTATTGAATTGAGAGTTATGATTTCCTCCCAGTTAAAAAACTTGTTTCATAATTCAGTATTTTGCTTAACAATTGAAGTGCTTGTTTTCAGAGGTCTGAGATCACACAACTGTCGCTATGTAACATCTATGCAAGTGTAACAATTGAAAGTTTCTCTTCTGAGACTAATGTGTGGACTACCATCTATCTCACGCTAGATGTACCTCTCAGAGTCTGTCTTCAAGTTCGAGGAAATTAGCATCAGCTGGGAGTATTCTGTTGGATTGACAACGAAGCACAGATCATTCTTTATGATAGTGTCAATAAGCGTTTCTGGGCTTTACAAATGGATGGCTCGAACCTTTGGATTAATATTGGAATATCAGGTGGAGTTCTCTGTTACACAATGTGGTACCGCGATGGACAGGTTACTATGTGGTGCCTTGAGAGCAATATTCGTAATCCAGATGCAGTATGGGTCAGGAAGTATGATGCAAGATTAACTGAAGCATTCAAAAAGAATTCTCTATCGGGTTTAGAATTCGCGGTGATGTATGTGGATATTTATCCTGCTAATCCACACATCGTTTATCTGAAAATGAATGGCACCATTGTTTCATATGACTTGGAAAAGAATGTTATGGAGTTTTTGTATGAAATCCGAGATGAAGACTACTTATTCTTTGCTTACGAGTGGCATCAATGGCCTCGTCTTCTCTAAGAACTATCAACAACATATTTTTGCACGACATCCCAAAAAGTGGAAGTATGATAGTTTTGCAAATACGTACTATACTTAAGTTTTGAGTCTATTCTTGACAATAGAGATGGTTATATCAGATAAGACACTATATGAGTAAGTATTTATCTATCTAAATATGCTTGACCACGTCATTTAGACTCATTGTTGAGAGCATATGTCATTAAGAGATGGGGTAAACTTGAATGTCATCAACTAGTTGAAAAGATTACAAACAGGATTAGGATTTAGGAATCTCTATGCAAAACAACTCGCCTATGCTGGGAGGCTTCAAGTGGTTCTGGCTGTGTTGTTTTCAATTCAAATTTTCTGGGGTTCAGCATTCATACTCCCTCAAAGTGTTGTTAAGGAGGTCGACAGGAAATGTAGAGAATATCTGTGGGGTGGCAGTGAATAAAGAGTCATTGTGGGTAAAATGGGTACTTGGGATCTACATCAAATCAGAGACATTTTGGGACCATAAAGCACCAGTAGATAGTAGTTGGTACTGGACGAAAATAAACTCTCTGAAGCACTGGTATACGCAAGGAAATTCAACCTTGCTGTGAATGGGCAATACTCCATTACAAGAGGTTATATTGATCTGATAGGGAACCAAGCAAAGATGGAGGTAGCGGAATTAGTGTGGAACTCTGTATCACTGCCAAGACAGAGGTTTATTATGTGGCTAGCAATGCAAAATAAATTGCTTACAAAGGACAGACTGTTGAGTATGAACATTCAGGTAGATGACATGAACTGTTGCCTGTGTCAAGCTGCAGTGTTAGTAGAGACAAACACACACTTATTTGTGGAATGTGAGTATGCTGTCAAAGTGAGAGATGCATTAGTACAATGGTCAAAAATTTCAGTACTGGCAAGAGATTTGAAGATTACACTGGAGCTGATCAAATTGAAACATTGGAGGAGGTTTAAAAAACAAGTGATAGCTGCTGTTTTGGGAGCAATGGTATATCACATATGGAAAGCAAGAAATTGGAAACAGTTCAAGAAAGTACAGATACAACATACAGAGATAGTGAGTACAATCATCCGTGAAATTGTGGAGAGGATAGAGATGTATAAGTATACAAAGAAAGCAAATAGATGTAGAAATTTTTGGCAAAAGTTATGTAATTAGTTTGTTATTTTGTTGAAGCCAGCCTTTACTATTCCTTCATTAGTAAGGGTGGTGAAGGTTGGATGAGACTAGTCTGTTTGTGGTGTTTTTGTTAATGGTAATATTCACATTGGTTGTCAAAAACTTTGACTAGCAATTAACTACAATATGTACATATAGGGATCGTTTGGTAGACCGCATTAGAAGAAATAGTCCATGTATTATGTAAGGTATTATTTAATACTATGTTTGGTAGGAATTTGAGCCTATGTATAACTAATCCATGGATAAGTTATACCTCATACATGGTATTATAGGATGTATTACTAATACACAGGATATAATACCATGGGATAAGTATATGTAAAGACAAAAATATCCCTCAAATCATTTTAATTATTTTGTTTATTTTATGATTTATATTTGTACTAGTAAATTTATTTAAATAAATTAGCTTACAAATTAGAGAGAGTTGTTTGTTCCTAAATAAATTCAATACAAATTTGAAATGTGAGTTGTTTATTTGTATATGACGTTTGTGATCTCAATTGAATGTATTATATATATATATATAACCGTCTTTTCGACTTTAAAAGAAGATGATTTATTTTTTAAAAAATTTAAAAATGACATTTTGTGAGTGATCAATTTATTAAGATGACAATTATTTATCCTTAATAATTCAAGTGAAAACATAACAAATATGACAACAAAATTGTTCTTCTCATAGCTAGTTAGAAGGCCATAAAAAAATAATATTGTCTAGCAATTATTTACCTTAACTCAATTACATAATAATTCAAGGGTAAAATTGGAAAGAAGTTTTTTATAAAGTTTTAATCCAAACACAAGATGAGGTGGGAAACAATCTTTTCGACTTTAAAAGAAGATGATTTATTTTTTAAAAAATTTAAAAATGACATTTTGTGAGTGATCAATTTATTAAGATGACAATTATTTATCCTTAATAATTCAAGTGAAAACATAACAAATATGACAACAAAATTGTTCTTCTCATAGCTAGTTAGAAGGACATTAAAAAATAATGTCCGACAATTATCTACCTTAACCCAATTACATAATAATTTAAGGGAATAATTAGAAAAAAAAACTTTTTATAGAATTTTAATCCAAACACAAAATGAAGTGGAAAATAATGAACCAAACATTTGATAAAAATAAACCCTGCATTATTAATCCATACATTACTAATCTCTGCGTTATTAATTTTTGTACTATAAGTTTAATTTTTATCTTCATTCTTAGTTAAGCTGAATATATTGTTATCATTGTATTCATGATTGGTTCTGCGACTAGATTTCTACTTGAAAACTCTTATATAATAAGATTCACATAATAAAACAAGTTTTAACTTTGCAAACTCTTAAGAACATTACATAGGCCATGTTATTAAAAGCAAGTATTGACTAATTGCCATCTTGAAATTTATTTCCTAAGGCCACATATTCATACTCAATACCCATAATAAGTAATTAAAGGAGTTTTTTTCCTTCTTTTTTTCATGCCCCTTTTTATACAACAACTTGCCTACAACTTCAAAAATATAAAAACAAGCAATACATTTCAAATACATATCTCTACTTGCACAATTTTTTTGTTCCCCGTACCCAAATAGACTCATGAGACTCGTGTTCCCGGCCTCAAACTCCACGAGTTTTCAACCAGACACTTGATATCCGCGCAATTTCAAAGGGCAAGGAGAGTAGTAGTAGTAGACTGAGGAAGATTTGTAAGCATGTGAACAACTTCCCTCATGGTAGGCCTAGCACAACTCTCTTCTTCAACACACATTATAGCAATCTTGAACAAATTGATAACACTTGCAAGAGGGTAACTATGTAGCCTCGAGTCAACGACTGCTAAAACTGAGGCTGCATCAGACGGCTGAGATAATTCGGACATTGTTTTATTTACCCATCTGACTATATCTACACCGTCCCCGAATTCACCAACTGGCTTGTGACCTGTGATAAGTTCCAACAGTACAACTCCAAAACTGTATACATCACTCTTTTGGTCAACTTTCAATGTGTATGCATACTCTGTTTCATATCCAAACAAAAATGCACCTCAGAAAAACATTAATTGCACAATTTAATGTTTTGGACAAATGTTTTAAATAGATTTTGTCCTGGAGCATAGCTTTTAAATACCTACTATTTTTAACCCCAGTTCAGTAAATTCTAAAAGTTCATAGGTCTTGGTAATTGGTACTAAAAGTTAGTGAAGTGTATCTTTCATGAAATAGGAAAATATTGACCAATAACACAGGTATATAAAAGGACTTAAGGATCTATTTTGCTTGTATTCTTCAAAAAATGATGTTGCATCCGTGTCGAATCCTCCAAAAAAGTATTACTTTTGGAGGATCCGACATGTACCCCACTGACATTTTTTAAGAGTTTGAGCAACATAGCTCAAGGTTATATGCACAATAGCATACAAACTTCATAGTATCATCATAATTTAATCTATTATAGCAAGTTATTAGTATCACATTTTAAGATTATCATTAATTTTTACCTGTAACTACATTATATGCCACCAAATTGTATAAATATGATGACCATATGAGCCAGTAATAAAAGAAAACTAATACGGAAATTCATAATTGTATAAATATGATAAATATTGTAACCGTATTAGTTTACCTGGAGCAATGTAACCATATGAGCCAGCAATAGAGGACATGCACTCTGATGCACCAGCATCCTGCAAGAATTTGGCTAGGCCAAAATCAGCAACATGAGCCTCGTAATCGGAATCCAGCAGAATATTATTGGACTTGACATCTCTATGAATAATCGAAGGCGAACAATCATGGTGCAAATAACACAATCCCTTTGCAGCTTCCACAGCAATACGGTACCTCGTCTCCCATTTCAAATGTGCTCCTTTGGCACCATGTAACATTTCACCTAAGCTCCCATTCGACATGTATTCGTACAACAACAAGTTTGTGTCTTTGTTTGAGACATATCCTAGTAATCGTACGATGTTTCTGTGCCTGATCCTTCCTAGTGTTTGGATTTCAGCTGAGAATCCGTGATCATGGTGTCCAGTTCCTCGGCCTACAAGTTTCTTAATTGCAACGTCGATGCCATTTGACATAGACCCTCGGTACACAACGCCAGCTCCACCTTTCCCAATTATGTTCTCCTCTTTTAAACACTCCAAAACATCCTCAGCTCTGAAATCAAGTTTCTGGAATGCTGTTAACTTCCAAAGTTTCGAATTCTTGAACTTTTCCTTCTTGATGAACAACACGGTAACTGCCAACAGCAATGCAACAGTGACTAAGATGATTATTGTAATCACCAATTGGATAGTTGTGAACTTCCCAGAATGGATTTTGAGCGCGTTTTGTGGTGAATTGGAAGCTGACGGGCAAAAAGTAGCATGAGGCGAACAGAGTTTTGGATTTCCTACAAAATAAGTGTCATTGAAGAACTTTAGTTGTCCGTTGGTCGGTCTCCTTCCAGAAAGATCATTGTAAGAAAGATCCAAAACTGTCAAGCCATTCATCACTCCGACTTCTCCAGGAATGGCGCCACTCAGTTGGTTTCTTGACAAGTTCAGAGCGTTCAAGCTATTTAACTTGGTGATTTCTTTTGGCACTTCACCAACCAGTTGGTTTCTGCTCAAGTCAACCAATGTTAGCTCTGAACAAAGCGCAATTGAACTTGGGATTTCACCTGTTAAATTGTTACCACTCAAGTTGATGGTCACGAGTTTATTCAAACTCGCAATTTCTTGAGGAATTTCACCAGATAATCTGTTCATATCAAGTGATAGAGTGACTAGATTCTTCAAGTTCCCTAATGATGGAGGAATGTTCCCCGTGATCCAGTTGTTGGAAAGTACAAGTTTAGTGAGATTATTCGCGTTTATCTCCGTTGGCAGCTCACCAGTGAAATAGTTGTTGTCAAGTTCAAGCATATCCAATGCAGGTAACTTGAAAAAACCAGCTGGAATAGTACCATTTAAGTAATTCTTCCTAACGCGAATTCGAGCAAGCGATTTGCACTCACCAAGTTGTTCAGGAATTGGACCAAAGAAGTAATTTTCCATTAGAATCAGTGTCTTTAACTTCCCTCCTTTACACAAATCAGGTGGTATCCTTCCAGTAAAATGATTAATAGAAATATCAAGAAACAAAAACCTCCCGTTACGCCCAAGATTTTCGGGCAATTCAAGAGTAAAATTGTTTCCCCAAATCTGCAACACTTCAAGATTTGGAAGGTCACCAATAAAAGGGGGAATTGGACCATGCAAGTTGTTTCTAAACAAGTTAATCAATGTCAAATTCTGCAACTTCACAAAACTCTCTGGTATTTCTCCGGTCAGTTGATTAAAAGACAAATCAAACGACATCAAACTCTCTAAACCAGATAGTTCAGAAGGTATGCGACCTGTAAATCATAAGCGAATCCAAGATTTAAGTTTTACGAATTCAAGATTCTAAAATTTATCAGATATATGACTTCAAAACTTTATATACATAATATTTTGCACATATACATCTATGTTATACAAAAACCTCTCTATTAACACATACTCTAACATCATTTCACTATAAATACAGTTTTTCTCAAAGAAACTTTTTATGATATTCTCACTCCATTCACTTTTTACTTATATACTGGCACTCTGCACGTCACTCAAGAAACAACTATTACTATTGAGTATTTCAACACAATTTGATTTTCAGTCTTACATCTTGGAAAATGATTTGTGACAAATATGTTTCCTACAACAATATTCAACCATGGCAACTAGAATATATTCAGACAAACGACGTTATTAAAGATAGATTTGATTGTATAACTAATTAACAAATAGTGAGTTCATGAATACCTGTAAGTCTGTTCACTTGTAGAAACAAAGTATGCAACTTCTTCAAATTTCCAAGACTTGGAGGAACTTCACCATCAAGATTACAATTTCCAAGATCAAGAAGTTTAAGTGTACTAATATTACCAAACTCAGATGGAATACCC